GGCAACATGGTGATCATAAAATGTTCTTCAACAATCATGTGACTGTAGTTAAGGAAAAGGCTTTGGAGTCCACAAACCACCTTTTGCCCACACTGGGAGGAGATCCTGTCTTCAAGCCTCAGGCTGTTTCACCCCATGTCTCTGCTGGCCTTTGGTCATGCTACTTAGGGTAGGCTAAGCAGCCTGCTGACTTAAAAGCTGGCCCTGCAGGTGGTAACCTACAGTGCTGGGGCCTTAGGGAGCCTGCTCTCAGGGCACACTAGCCATGGCTCTAAGGATACTCTGTGTAGGGGCCATTCCTGGGACAAATCTCTGCCTGCACCCCAGGACTACCCAGGGAATCCTCTGGAATGCAAGTGGAAGAAGACTCACCTGTGTGCCTTCAGAGTTAGCCCCATGGAGGAGGAGGAGGAGGAAGAGGAGGAGGAGGAGGAGGAGGAGGAATATGTGGTGGAAAAAGTTCTCCATCATCTATTGTAAAAAGCAAAGTGGAGTATCTCCTAAAGTGGAAGGGGTTCTCAGATGAGGACAGTACATGGGAGCCAGAAGAGAAACTGTATTGTCCCAACCTTTTGCTGAGTTTCTACAGTCACAGAAAACAGCACATGAAACAGATAAATCAAAGGGAGGAAAGCATAAAGTTGACTCAGATTCTGAAAATAAGGGAGAAGAGACCAAACCAAAGAAGAAAAAAGAAGAGTCTGAAAATCCAAGAGGCTTTGCCCGGGGTTTGGAGCCGGAGCCAGAGCCAATTTTTGGAGCTACAGACTTCAGTGGAGAGCTCATGTTCCTGATGAAATGGAAAAACTCTGATGAGACTGACGTGGTCCCTGCCAAGGAAGCCAATATCAGGTGTCCACAGGTTGTCATATCCTTCTATGAGAAAAGGCTGAGGTGGCATTCCTACCCCTCAGAGGATGATGATAAAAAAGATGACAAGAATTAACTCTCCTGAGTACCAGCCCCTGTCGCCTGTGACTGAGGATTTAAGTGGAGAGGGAAGGAGTTCCACTTGTCTTGACACCATAAAGGTGGCTTGAGAAGATGTCCTTTAAAGAGCCAGTCTAGTTTCCGTGCCCTGCAGCAGCCCAAGTGCTTTAAAGCCATTCCAAGCTGTATAGTTTGCACAGCCATCCCAGTGGAGGGGAAAGGGGTAAGTGTTTCAAGGCAACCCATTCTGCACTTTATTGAGAAAAGCAAAGGACTTTCAATGAGGGATAAAATTTGCAGAATTGGGTGTTTGGGAAGGCAAAAAATACTGTTGAAATTCAAAGAGCATCTCCACAACCCACAGCCTTCTTCCCAATAATGTTAATTCTGCATTTTTACAATGGAGCATGTGTGTAGTTTTTTGGCTCTTACTGGTATATTATTTGGGGTGGGAGGGATTGGGAAGGGAAGAAGGGAGATGTGTAGGATCATTTTTTTTTAATTTGGGGCCTGACTGGGAAAATGGTGAAACAATGGAAAGACCAAGTAACTAATGATTGGGTTCTACGTCCAGAATATTTTACCTTATTCAAAAAAACGTCATTGGCACCATAAATGAGGACTGTGAGAGACTATTTAAAAGCTGTGAATGCCTGAAACCCGTAAGTCAAGGTGTTCCCTGCCTGAGTTAATGTTGTTCCCCACAAAGGACTAAGCCGGTGCCTATGTTACCAAAGCTGCCATTCTGGAGATAGAAACTGACTGAGGTGGGAAGGTCTTTTATTGGAGAGTATACACAGGCAGATTATTCTGTCTTAGAAGTGTTAATTCTTGCATTTAGGCAAGAATTATCAGCTCTAAAACAGAATTATGAACTTATAAATAAAATCAGCTTATCTGTCTAAGCCACTGGCTGAAGTAATGGGGAGGAGCCAAAGGGGTATGGGAAATGGAAGAGTAGGGAAAGAGGAGAGGCCATACTCGGGTTGGTAACTATTGGAGCCTCTGCTTTTTAAACTTTGAACTCTGAAACCATTAGTGGCAGAGTTCAGTCACTGACAGCACAAGTTTCATTAAGTGAATTCCAAGGTTGAGTAGTTTCAAAAGCCCTGTTCTCAGGAGATTAGCTTTCATATTGGGTCAGTGGTTCACTTTAAAGACATTAAAAGATTTTTTTGAAGAAAAAAATATTTATGGATTGACTGGTACCCAAAATGCTGTCATGAATCATGATATCCAAAAGTTCTTGATATCATCTATACCTGCACCTAGAGCTACATTGTAAAATCTTTTTAGGCATGTGTTAGGTTTCTCTGAGATTTTTGTTTCAATGTAAACTTCATACACACTATCAGTTTTTGTCTTTATAAAACTATAGATTAATTTTAAAAAATAAGGAGGCTGACTCATAGTTGGATAGGGAGCAGGAACATTGGAGGAATAGATGAACTCTAGATAGGGCAGAGAGGTTGGAGGGGAAGGGAGGAGGCATGGGGTAATTAATGATGGCTAAATGTGGTGATCATTACTATCCAAGTACATGTATGAAGACACAAGTTGGTGTGAATATACTATATATACAAAGATATGAAAATTGTGCTCTATATATGTAATAAGAATTGTAATGCATTCTGCTGTCATGTATAAATTTAAAAATTTATATAAAAAGATTATTAGTTGATATTTATTTTCTTTCAGAGCTTCTTATATGTTATTTCAGGATCTTTCTATCTTTCACAGACTGGGTTAAAAATCTACAGTTTTCCCAATTAGTTTCCCCCAGTATGTAATCTGATTCATTTCTCTTGTGGCTTTTACAATTCTCTCCTTATTTTGTATGCTAGTTCATTATAATGTGTCTTAGTGTGGATCTGCTGTAATTTTTACATTTGGTGTCCTGTAAGCCTCTTGCATTTTGTTTTCTCTTGTATTTTTGTTTATGTTTGGAAATTTTTCTGCTATTATCTCATTGAATAGAATGTTCATTTCTTTGGTTTGGAACTCTATGCCTTCCTCTATCCCAATAATTTCTAAATTTGGTCTTTTTATGTTATCCCATGTCACTTCCCATGGTCTCTTACCATTTTTCACTGTGCATTCTACATTCTTTTAAAGATTATATATTTGGTCTTCATTGTCTGAGGTCCTGTCTTCTAAGTGTTCTAATCTGTTGGTGATGCTTTCTGTTGAGCTTTTAATATGGTTTTTTGTTTCATTCATTTCAAGGATTTCTGTTTGCTTGTGATTTTTTTTAGAACTTCTGTCTCTTTATTGAAGTAAACCTTTGCTTCCTGTATTTACTTATGTATCTCTTTATTGAAATGATCTTTTGCTGCCTGTATTCTTACATCATCCTTTAATTCACAGAACACTTTAATTATGTACCTCCTGAAATCTTTCTTGTGTTGTGCTAGCCATGGAATCTAATAATGTAGTATCTTGGTTTGTTTGGGACACCTTTTTACCTAGTTTTTTTATGTTGTTTGTGTGTCTTTCCTTCTAGCACTGCAGGACCACAGCATTACCATTTTTACCCTATAAGCTTATAGTGGCCTTGCAGGGTTCCAATATCTCTCTTTGATGGGAAGAAAAAGGTTAACAGATCCCAATACAAAACATATACAACCTTAAACAAACTGGTTACTATTAAGATGTCTATTTTTGTCACAATACACAGTAACAGTGAGTTCAATTATTTCTACAATATAAGCAGTATGTTTGCAAAAGGATTTACAGTTTCTGATGATGGACAAAGAATGAGATGCTGAAGGGGTAGAAGGTGAGATTATAGAGTTATTAGTTCTTAGGAAGTATGAAAGAGGAATCAAAAGATGATGGTTAGTAGAAGGAGAAGAGAGAGAAAGTGATTTGGGGGAGAGAGGAAATGGGATACAATAAGTACATAAGCCAAACACTTAATATTAAGAAAAATAAAATAAAAAAGTGAAAATGATAAAAGATGTAAAATGTAAAAATGAGATAAAAGAATATACAACACAACTGTAATGCATGATTCAAACATCCCTGTCCTCAAAATTCTAATTCATGCAAAGTACTTGGTTTCACAAATATTTTGGATAGCATCTTCTCCCCTCTGCTGCACCTGCTCTCCAGGGAGGCGTCCAGCTGAGGGCCTCAGAGGCTCCCTGCAGGGGGAAGGCTGTGCCTCCCTGTGAGGGCCTCCTTCAGCTCAGGAGCATCCAGTTGGCACAGAGCCCTCAGGTGCACATGCTGCTGCCATCTGTGGTGGGCACAGGGAGAAATTCAGTCTCTGTCCTCACTTTCAGTTGTCATAAGCTGAGTCCACATAGGGCCCTGTCTAGCTCACTCTTGTGACAGGCCTGGGACATGGACCAGCCGGTGTCCATATGGACTTCATGATGTTTTCAGGGTGAGGATTAATTTATTCTAGTTCAGTATGTATGTGGTATCTATCTGTCTATCTACCATTATATTTCATCTATCTATATATACTCTAACAATAATCAATTATCTACCTTTCTCACCCCCTTGCTACTCTGTCATTGTGATCTAGGCCTCCATTCCTCCTCTTGTGATTTGCAGAATTGGGGGAAGCAGGCTCTCTCTGTCCAAAACAACTGTCTTGGGATCATCTTGGAAGCACAGTCACCTGAAAACAATGCTGCTGCTCTGCAGCCCTCACCATGTCCACGTGGTCCCAGAATAGATAATAAAACTGACATCATGGGCATGGCCACCTGGTTTCTCATAGGGCTGGTAGAGAGCCTTTCTTGCACACTGCGCCCCGAGTGTGATCCCAGCACCATTCTGGAGTTTTATAACCATCTGCCTCTCTTTGCCTCCTGCCTTCTGCCATGAGGTGGTACAGCCTCAGGAAGGCCTGGTCAGGAGCAGCACCTTGACATTTGCATTTCCAGAACCTGCTACAATGTAGCTCCCTCATTGTAAACCATCAGGCATGGGAGCTGCTCAGAGCAGTACAGACTGGACTCAGCACACACTGGTGCAGGGGTCTGAGGTGGTTGTAGTAAACATCTAAAGATGTGGATGCAGTCCTGGGACTGGGCAAAGTGTTGGTCTGTGCCAGCTCAGATCTGGGAGCTGAAATAGTCACCCAACAGCCAATCTGACAGCACCTGTGGGGCTAACTCTGCAGGCATATAGGGTGCAAGAGTGTGGAGGTGGTCTTCCCCCACCTGCATTCCAGAGGATGTCCTGGGTAGCCCTGGAGCTCAGACAGAGCTTTGTTCCAGGTATGGCCCCTATAAGAGTCCCCATAGGCCATGGCTAGTGGAGCCTTGGAGGAAAGCCCCCTAAGGCCACAGCACATAGACCTGCCATCTGCAGGGCCAGCTTTGAGGGCAGCAGGCAGGAGATGCCACCCTGTGCCACATAGCCAGAGGCCAGCTGAGACATCGGGTGGGATAGACTAAGGCTTAGGGACAAGCCTCTGCCCAATGTGCATAGGAGTTGGTATATGTAGTCCAAGAGGCTTGTCCTTAACACCAGTTCCATGGCTCTTAAAGCACTTTGTATGATCATCACAGTTTTCATTAAAGAAGATGTGGAAATATGATATAAACAGAGGAAGAATGTCATTTAACTAACAAGAATGGCATCTTGACCCTCCTGGAACTAGGCCTGGCCCTGGAGTACATGGATCTAGCTGAAATAAGACAGGCAGAGGAAGACCATCACCACACCATCAATTATATGGGGAAGCTACTGCATCTGGAAAAAGAGGACTATGGCCATTGGAGATGGGAAGGTGTAGAGAGAGCAAGGGTTAGGGTGAGTGGTAAGGATGCCATGCAGAGGGGCCTTGTCCTGGTGCTCCACAGCTCACAGTGCACTTTGGCCCACAGTCAGGGTGTTCTGTAATCTTGCAGACTGGAGCAGAGCAGCTGGGTGGGCTCCCCACACCAAGGAGGGACAGGTGATGGACAGCTGGGTGTGCACAGCCTGGGATCCATCATGGCACCTGGCACCCATATGTCAGGGTGCTGTTCTCTCCCTCAAAAGAACTCCACAAGAACTCATTTTTTTGTAGGTCTAAAAATAATTCCTGAATCACTAGCTATGTTTATGATGGAAAGAGATGCTGACATTCTTAATAATGTTGGTGATCAAACACCATCACATGGAAAAGGAAACAAAATACAACACCTCATTCCTTATTCAGGCCCTTCAAAAAGTATTCAACTGTCAAATCCCTCAATCTAATTTATGCAACCAACTCCAAATATTATACTCATAAAAGTAGACACAAGGCAGGTGCGGTGGTGCACACCTACAATCCCCATGGCTCGGGAGGCTAATGCAGAAGGATCCAAATTCAAAGCCAGCCTCAGCCATAGTGAAGCACTAAGAAACTCAGTGAGACCCTATATCTAAATAAAATATAAAATATGGCTGGAGATGTGGCTCAGTGTTCAAGAGTCCCTGAATTTAATCCCCAGTACCTCCCACCAATAAAGCTGGTTTAACCAATCAAATAAAGACTGTGTGCAAGTGAGGGTTGTCATGTTTAGGAAAAGAGATCCCAGCATCCTCTTTGACTCAGGAAGGAGCTGAGTGAGCCCTCTAGAGCAAACCCTGAGGTTTCAGTTAGCCAAAGTAGACAGAAATGAACCATTGAGAAAAGAAGCAATTGGAAAAATTCTGTTAATCTGATACAATATCATTCTTCTTTACCAATGAAAAAAGTATTATACAAACTATGATTATTATTTAGGTATATGTAAGAACATCAGAGACATAAGAAGAAGAAAAATCATTGTATTTGTATTTGGTATAAATAAAAATAGATAATAATTTGAGAAGATAATGACAGGTAGAGAAATTTCATATAGAAAATACAGGCAGGAAACAAAAGACTCTTCAATAAATTTTGTTCATACATCTATGAATTTGCCAAAATAAGTGACACAATTACATAATTAAAATTCTCAAATAAAATATTAAAATATGGAAATATTGTTTATTGAAACAGAAATGGCTTGTATTGACATAAAATATAAAACTCTAACTTAGCAACTTATAAGGTTTATATGCAAAATCAGTGTTATAACACTCAATACAACATCTTTTGGAAAATATAAAAAAAAAAAAGATTTGATTTTCTGGAATGAACCAGAAGTAGCGTAAGATGATCTGGGATATAACAATTCCCATGACCATTTTCACCGAGCTTGCCGCTGAACCCTCAGGACAGGATGGGCATTGACGTGAGCAGGAACACAGCCCAGGGGGTCCCTGTCTGCAATCCTGCAATCTAGCCACGTGGCTGGAAACCTGGACAGGATCCAAGCTCACTCTGCCAGGAGCCCGGTGTCCTGGAGCTTCTCAGGCTCAGGGTCATCTCCCAGCAAGATGGGGTTAGAGCAGCGCTAGGCAAACTGTGCCTTCAGGGTCCTGAGGCCAGTGGCAGAGCTGACCTGTTATTCCCACAGTCTATGCAGAGCTGTCCACTCTCCCTCCTGGGTCTTTGCCAAGGGTGCCCCTTTCTCTCACCCCTGTCCACAGGCCATGTACAGCTTGGATCCCTGGGTGTGGAGTGTGGATGTCACAGAGCCTCATCATGAGAGGTAGGCAGCTCACATACTCCAAAGTTACTCTGAATATGCATATTTCTGTGCCTTGACCAGGTTTAGGGCTTTCTGCCCCTGCTTCTCTGTTCAGTCCATAGATATTTGGTTCAGATAATTCCTTGCTATGGGTGGTGTTGAGTGATGACTGAAGGTTTGGCAGCTACAATGGTTTCTAACAACTGGTTGCCTTGCAAAACCCTTTCTTAAAATAAGTGAAAATAAAACTGAATCCAGACATTGCCAAGGGTCCACAGGGGTGGAAGTTTCCGGCACTATGTGGGCTCTGCTGTCAAGTGTGTTCTGTGACCTGATCCATGACAGGAAGCACACTGAGCAGATTGGGAATGAAAAGGTGTCATGGGGAGAGAAAGGGGGTCCAGCTGAGAATGGAGAGGGTAAGATATGGCATCAAGTGTTTATGAAGTTAACCTGGGTGTGGTGGAGCTCCCCTCTAACCCCAGGTACTCAGAATGCACAGGTGACAGATAGGGTCTGTAAGGGCTTCAACAGGCCAGATCCTGACTTCTGCAGCTGAACCTGCACAGGACACCTGGGGACAAGGACAGTCACATGCTATCAGTCACCTGCAGTCACAACCTCTGCATCAACCCAGGTCAGACACTGGAGACACTCACCTTGGGAAGGTGTGACCAGGCACAGGAGAGGAGCAGTGCAGTCAGAGCTGATGCTTTGCAGTTGCCCAGGAGAGCAGCACACTTGTGGTGCTGCCCAGGAGCTATGGCCAGGAGGGTGAGGCCAGCAGCTCCATTGGGAGCAGCCCAGGGCTTTGCACCCAGAGGATTGAGGGTGTTTCAGGTTCCCAGGGATCAACAAGGCCCAGCTTCCCCAGCTCAGAGGCAGAGATGAGGATCTGAAAGACCCTCCAGGGCAGGGCCTGTGGGAGAGAGCTCTGGGCTCCTGACCCAGGACTGCCCAGGGCATGGTTTCCCCTGTTCAGCCAGCAAGGGGCCCAGAGGTTCCCAGCCCTGGTTCAAGGGAGGCCAGGA